AAAACAAAAAAGTCTATGTGTCTCCTTGCTGCCTTCAGCTGGTATAGAAATACGATGCTCTATTACAATAAATTCCCCCAATGCTTGCTCATGGCAAATCCAAAACATCTAAAAATGTCCCTGTACATTGAAAGAGGTTTGGTTTCCTTCAAAAATGCGGAAGGTTTTCAGCTGCCCTATCCAATACGAAATAGCAGATAAGTTACCTTGTCTTCATTCTTTAGAAACACTTGGACAGGCCAGTCTATTTTCATAGGGAGGGCAGTTGGGATTAGAAAAGTCACGGAAGGAACCCTGTCTCAGAGCATGAGCATCCACCCTTATTTTCAGTCCACCGTGCCCTCCTTATGCCCTTCAGTAAATGTTCCTGTGTCATTCATTGTTCTAGATTTGAAAAAAAGTCTCTTGTGGCGGCCATTAAGCTCAGTTGGTTAGCACACAGTGCTCATAACACCAAGGTTGCAGGTTCGATCCCTGCATGGACCACTGAGCTGCACCCTCCACAGTTAGATTGAAACAACTACTTGACTTGGAGCTGATGGGTCCTGGAAAGTTCCCCAATTAAAAAAAGAAAATGAAAAGAAGTCTCTCATGACAAAAAAAGTAGTAGGTGGTAGGTTGTTTTCCAGGAGAAGGATGCGAAATTCAACACGCCCTGACTTTCAAAGCATTCATTTCTGCTTGAGCCAAGAGCTCATTGAATGAAAGAAACAGATTTAACACGCTTAAATTATACAACAGTCCTCTTTATTTAGTTGTAACCCTAAGTCAATTTTCCTTAAAACAGTAATATTTCACTCTTACTATTTTTACACCCATTAAAGCAACATGACTGCACCGCAGAATTACCCACATGCAATTAAGTATCTGATAACACACGTTTTGATTTTGTTAACAAGCAATGGAAAAGGTTACATCATATCATTAAGAAAATATTTTCCTTAGACACCCTATTTCACTTTGGTTTTCATTAAAAGAGTTTCAGCAGAGGTCTGTCTCACAGGTTGATTCTTTGTCCTTTCACGAGTCGTGCTCGAAATTGCCAAACATCCTGGAAATAATGCCAAACAGAATGAGTTTACAGAATACTTGAATTTGTCTCTTTACCATAACAGAAAGTAAATTTCTAATATCTACAAATGGCTAAAAAAAAAAAAAATCCTCCATGGTAGCCATACACTTAGAATATAAACCATATTCTGAGACTCTGATTAATTTACTCGCCAACATCTAATAAGTTAAATAATCTAAGACATGGTGTCCCCAAACTGTCAGCCCTGTTTTGTTTGGCAGTCTTGTTGATTATAGGTATCGTAACTGGCTGAGTGTCATGTTTGGTCGCACACAGTACAAACAGCTCACACCCCATCTTCCTGCCTTCTTGTAGGTCATTTGAACCATTTTGAGTGATTGCCTCCTGATTAGATCATAATCGTGAAAATGGTATCATTGGGTTGCTGGGGGTTTTCTCTGTGCCCTTAATAAAGTAATTTAGACTCTCTAATTTCCTATTTCTTGTTTATTGTTGAGCAACCAGCAAAGTATGGTAGGAAGAGTGATTTTAGAATTGGACCTGACTCTGAAGTCTGTCTAGCTGTGTCAACTTACATAACTTAGGCCAACCTCTTGGACAATTCATTTTCTCATTGAGAGCATGGAGCTATAATCACTGCTCCATTGGGTTTTGGTGAAAAAAATGAGAAAAGGGCTATGAAAGTGCTTTTGTACCTTACAAAGAACTATAGAACAGAAGTTTGTATTGTTATTCTGAGTAAAGCTTATAAACTATAACTTAAGAAAATAACTAAAATTAGTACGGGGGTAATTTATTTAGTACAACATTGACAAGCCTCAAACATAGTGTATACATATTTTTTTCAGCCTTAAAATTCAGGGTGTTGGACGGAAGCTCCAATTAAAAAACTGCACTGCCTTTGTAAGGCTTTTTAAGTACTGGACAAAGGAAGAAGGATTAGGCTTTCCAGGCTCTGCTAATGTGAAATCTGAGCATTTTCAGATACGGGGTATATTCCTTGATTCCTAGATTCTAAACGGAAATGGGGTGAAGGCTGAAATAAGATTCTTGAGCTGGGATGGTATTCAGACTGGTAGCCTGCCGTTGGTGTGCAGTGCTCTTCCAAGTACTGGAAGGCCCAGTGTTCTCATTACACTCAGTCTATGTGGGGGTCATGTCACCCCCATAGGAAGTGGATGCATTTATGATTATCTAATGCAAATTAAAAAAACAAACAAATGGGATCAGCTTCTTGGTTCAGAGGCTAAAAGTACATAGTCTACAAAGCAAATACATTTTTTGCCTTGACTGACCATTGTTCTTGATCCTCATCAGCATTGAATGTCCACTAGTTAAAAACAAATAATTTACAAGTGATGTATGAATTAGTAAAGCATATGAAATACTGTATCACGCCCCTTATTGATAAGCATTTGTGATCTTCAATTTCTGCAACAGGCGAAGTGTGCCTCTCATTAAACTCCAGGTGCAAAGTGACAAACAAAAACAAAGCCTTGCTTAAGAATTACTAGTTCTGGGAATCTTACTGGATTTCCAAATACATAAATACTCTATTGTGTACAAATAAAGGAGGCCAGTGATTGACAGTCCAAACCTTTAACTTTCCTTGTGTGCATTCAGAAGGTAGCCTTTTGCCCTTTGTTTCCTGTCCTCTAAATCTGTTTTCTATTTTCTTTCCCTCCCGTCTGTCCTGAACCAGCGTAGCATGCACACCCCAGGGCAGCCCGAAGATATAAAGAGACAGCACAAGGGAACCCAACACAAACTGAAACGCCAATGTCTTTCTTAGCGGGTCTCAGCCATGTTTCTGAAATGAGCTCTCAACCCAAGCACTTGGTGCATTCAAATTACATCAGG